TGCTGTTGCAACACTTGACTGCTTGAATCCGTCAATTTACCCAGGCGAAGCGGGCTTCGTCACACTTTTTCAACACGTTATTGAATTGACACCCCATCTAGCGCCCGAGATGGAAGTCGACGATGCCGAACTTCTTGCTCTTGCGGGAGGTGATGATTCTTCCGATGAGGAGACCACACAGGCACCTCCTACCGTCGCCAAAGCTATCTCTCCCCTACCTGCAATCGCGCTTTCTCCACCACATACCAAAGACCAATCCAGTCTGACCCCGAATGCTTCCGCCAAGCGTGGAGGTGCTAGCAAGACTGTGAAGAAACGCAAGGCTGAGTCCGAGGACGAAGGTGAAGCGTAAGTCATCACAAAAGCACTCAAAGTCTCAACAAATTGTTTATGCATGTCTCCAGCTCTTCCGCACCTGGATCACCGGACTCTCTACAATCTGCTCCAATGTCTGAATCCGACTCAGATGCCTCTCCAGCCCATGGCGCTGGTGCCGGAGGTCCCATCTTTCCAGTCGACAATAAGTTCTATTCGGAGCAAGACAAGAAGAAAATCATGGCCCTCTCCGAAATTGAGCGTGAGTCGATCCTCGCAGATCGCGCTCAAATTCTCGAACGCAATCAGCAAGACCAGCACCTTCGTCGTCTTTTGCAAACCCGCGGGAACGCAGATACGAAGTTGGCCGACAAGAAGCGCAAGATCGGTACCACTGATCTTGAAGACAGTCCGAGAAAGAGTTCCCGCCAGAAGACTACACTCGGCGGACGCAAAGTCGGAGAAACATCAGCGGCCATTGATGCATATAAGCGTCAGCGCGAGGAGAAGAGCCTGCGAGATCAACAGCGGAAACGTGATGGGGCGAATCGAAAAGACCGCCGGGCACGAAGCACTAGTGAAAATAGGTATTCGAGTGCCGATGCTGATGGAGAGAGCGAGGTTGAGTGGGATGAAGGGAAGCTTAAGGTAGACGACTTCAAGTTTCGCAACGCGCAGCCCGCGGACTACAATGATGTCCGTCGTGCGACTTTGACTCGCGGTTTGCTCGCAGACTACTGCTTTTACCCTGGGTTTGGAGAAGCTGTCAAGGACTTCTATGTCCGTCTACCATCGAAACCAAAGGCCAGTGGTGAGATGAACTATGATCTGATGTTGATCAAAGGTACCATATACTCCATGTCTGGCCATGATCTCCACTAATGGTTTCAGGGATTTTGGAGAAAGAAAGTTTCGACTATGCCGTAGAGAGGCCGAACGGAAATAAGATCGTTACCAATCAACACGTCCAACTCATGATTGATGGAGCCATGAAGGACATTCACTTCGCGGCCATCTCGAACTCAAGACCTACAGAAGTATGTCGAGGTCTCCGCCTCGATACTCACAATACTAACGCGTACAGGCTGAGGTCGCAAACCATAAAATCGCCATGAGTGACTCGGGGAAAACGCTGCCTACCAAATCGTTCCTCATATCAAAGCTCGCAGATTTTGATGCAGTCGTCAAACATCGATTCACCGACGAAGAGCTCACAGAGAAGCTAAAACGTCAAGGTGCTTTGCAGAGAAAGGACGCCTACTTTGAGCGTAATGGCATTAACACCCGTCGCCGCGCCGCCGAAGTGAAAGGCGATGAAGCAGCGATTGCCAAGTGCGACGCCGAGCTAGCTGCCCTAGATGGACCAAAGCTCAAATACGGCACATTCCTCGTGGACCCTAAGGCCAAACCCGTTATCCCTGCTGGACCGACCCAACAGGAGCGCCTTGCTGAGTTGAACAAAGCCAACCGCAAGGCAAACCGGGAAAATGTCCGCAAAGCTCAACTCGCAGAGCGCAAGGCGGACCGGATCAATCGTGAAGCCGTTCAGCGTGGAGAGGCTATGCCAAATTCCTTTGCGCGTGTTAAGACTTACGCCAAGACTCATCACGATGCCAAAGAGGCTCTGAATCCGCTTCTTGCTCGCCAGAATGGCAGCAGTCGCGACGTTAGTCGTTCTGCCACCCCTGCTGCAGTTACTACTCCTAAAGTGGAGGCGAAAAAGCCCGTATTCCCTAGCCCAGCCCAAAAGTTCACGGCTTCCGGCATGCCTATACTTGGAAATCGCAACATGGACGACGAGATCATCGCTTCCATGGACTTGGGGATTGACATTGAGATATAGGGGGCCTTGCGAGACTCCAGCACGGAATAGAGAGAGGGAAGAGACTGTCAATTTGTTTCTTCCAAGCATAGGAAGCAAGGAAAGCGGGGATAGGGGTTGGTTCAAAAACACACGATTGATTTTTAGCGAGGCGCAGGGTTTTCCGGGGACTTGAAACAAAAGGAGAGACGCTGCATATGGATCGAATTGTTAGTCATTGAATACAGGCATTTAGAACATCTCAAGGCTTTCATGTTCCCAAATAGGAGTCTATTTCGATGTATATCACTGTCAGCCGAGCGTTCCTCCAGCTTCTCTGAGAGCACCTCTCACCGAAGCCTTTACAAACACCGGGTACCTGTGACAATGAACACTGAAACTTGGAGACGTCGATAAGACCGAATTACTTTAAGATGCTTTTGACAGTAAGACGAGCTCGAGCATGAGGGGAACGGGGCGTCTACAATTTACGCTAGTAGGCCCGGCAATATTTTCGCCTACACGCCTGCCACACACCAAAGAACAATAGCAGATGACTCTTCGAAGACTCGACTCGCTTCACGATTATTCCTCATTGCGTTGTTCAGACACAATAGCTTTTTCCCTAGCTCCCTCTACAAAGGCCATTAATGGAACTACGACTATATTTACTGCCCTCAGAACTCTCCAGATTCCTGATACTTGATCTCAAATAGCACACAAACTTCCAAGGAACCTCACCGCCATCAGATACATTAGTTGTTACAAGAAGTTTCCCATAGCTGTTGCAACTGCTCTAGAGCATGCACGATTTACGCCGACAAGCTCTCGAGAGCGGCAAGACTACGTCTCGCAAGGCGCGCTCCAAAGTATCCTCTCCGGCCAACTCGAAGCCGAGTTCGCCCGCGACGTCTCGCGCCGCGAGTAGGGTAAGGGGAAATGGCAGCAGGGCGGGCTCAGATGATGAGGGAGAGCTCAGTGATGAGACATCGTTCAGGTAAGAGTGTCTCTTCTATTTGTCTCGTTTTCGGGCGAGGCTACGCTCCTCTTCTCGTGCTACATGGAATTATCGTTGTTAACGAGGGGCGTAGTGTTGGCTCCATCGACGAGGTCCTCAATGGTGACAGCACAGAACACTCGGGAGACGCATGGAGGCCAGAGCTCGCAGACCGAATAGAGGAAACACTCGCCAGGAAGGGCAGCACTGTGCAGGGAAGAGAAAAGTGCTACAAGGCCTACGTACACATTTTGACCGCGCAGTATGCGGAAGAAGAAATCCGTGGGAAGGAAGCAGAGCTTGTGGTTGCCTTTCTTAAAAGCATCAAGGAAGAGAAGACGGAAAAGGAGACAATACTCGCTATGAAAGGTACCACCAACCTCCATCATCTCTCTATTGTGCCCGATGAAGCTAACCTTGTTTTTATATGTAGCTCTCGCCATGACCCTCATGACCTCCCCCTCTGATCTAATCTACGAAGCCGCCTCCACCCCCCTGAAACGCGCAATCTCTCATTCTACTTCTACCGCCAGCAAAGCAGCCGCCATACACACCCTCGGCACCTGCACCTTCTACGGCGGCGCCTCCGACGACGAAATCCTCGAAAACATGGACTTCCTCCTCGAGATCATAACGAGCGATGGGTACACCATCTCCGCACCCGACGAGCCTGAGCCTGTGGCTGCTGCGCTCGAAGAATGGGGATTTCTCTGCACCCTTATCGACGACATGTCCCCTCAGTCTGAAGACGCAGTCGAAGCGTTCGCGGAACAAATCACTTCCTCTTTCCCCTCGGTCCAAATAGCAGCCGGCGAGAACATAGCTCTTCTCTTTGAGAAATCCTTCAAGCAAGTCGACCCGGAAGAGGACAGCCTAGCCGACTTCCCAGACAGCGAAATCATGTCCGACCCCGACGAAACCCCCGGCGTCCCCAAGCTCATCCGCCTCTACCCCGCCTACCGCCGCACCGACCAGCTAATCCACTCCCTCCAATCCATTGCCTCGATCAGCACCCACCACCTTAGCAAAACCGACCGCAAAGCCCTCCGCACAAACTTCGTAGACATCTTGAACTCCGTCGAATACCCGACCCGCGGCCCCAGATATCAAAACGCCATCAGCGATGAGACGGGAAAACGGTATGGGTCGAGGATGGTGGTAAGGATACACAAGGGCGGCGTCATGAAGATTGACAAGTGGTGGAAGTTGACGAGGTTGCAGGGGCTGAAGAGGGTGTTGCAGGGGGGGTTTGTGGGACATTATGAGAAGAATGAGGTTGTGTTCGAGACGTTGCCGATCATGATGAGCAATGATAGATGAAGAGGGGCGAGGGGTGATGATAAGGATTGACGGAGGGTGAAAAGGTGGGTTTGGGCGTATGGACGCAGATGACTCGTGCTGCATGGAGTTGGTGGTGTTTTCAGGACTGCCTTTTCTGGCATCTTTAGAAAGTTCATGTTCGCGGAACTTTGTGGCATCATACCCATTTCTTCTTTTCAATCTCCCTTTTCAACTGGAGGACACTTGTAGGCATGGAGGGATGCGCAGAAACGAGCCAGGTTTCTAGACAATAGATAGTCATATATACCCGCATGCAATGGTTTACCCGGCACTTTCATACTTTCAGTACGGCTTTGTACACGCAGTGTCAAAGCAAGTAGATACATGGGTACCAAATGAAAGGACCACCAGGGCCATGAACTCCAGCGTCCACCAGAAGATTGCACCCAGAATATAGACGTGTGGCCCAGAGTAAACGCCGCCGCTTGTGCATATGCCGAATGAAGAGAACGCTATGCCGCTATGCGAGTGCGAGAGCCGAACCTGTGGCTTGCGGATTGGTAGCTTGTGATGACGATTTGACGAAGGAAGCAAGATGAGTAAAATTCAGTTGCTATTCACTGTCAGCATGTCCACCGCACATCAGAGTAATGGAGCCGAGGACTTACTAAATCTCCAAAGGCGCCAACCCATCAATACTATACAGCCAATTCCCTCCCTGCTCCTCCCTCGCCAGCCAATCGTACGGCCAAAGCACCAGATGGCCCTGCACCATCTGCATCAGGTCATCCGCATCACTAGGATCGATGATATCGTCGCTGGCGTGGAATTCCCTTCTCGAACTGCGAGTTGTTGCCCTTCTCCTCCGTTTCTGTGTAGATGTGTTACGGTTGAGGGCGTCGGAGTAGGCGACAGAAGGCGGCGGCGGCACTTTCGTGGTGGCTTCTGAATCAAAGGTTGTAGCATGCTTCAGCTCATTGGAGGTGCGTAAGGGGGCTTTTTCGTCGATGGTCGTGTCAGTGTCAGCGGCACTGGGCGATCTTGGGCGCTTGTCTTTAGATTCTATTGCCTGTCGTGCAATTTGTGCCTTGTTGGCTTCTTCGGCCCACTCTTCGATCTTTCCCATGGAATGGTTTTTGTAGTGGTTGTCTTTCTGGCTGTCCTTTTGGCCCAAGCTATGCATGAATTTCTCCCCGAATGTCTCGGCTTTGCTTTCTGCTTCGCCGGCCTTCTCGCCAATGGGTCCTAGTAGACGAAGCTTGTCAGAAAGACTGATGTTGCCTGGAGGTCCACTAGAGCCGGGAGCATCTTGCTGAACTCGGTCCTTGCTCTTGCCGCCACCTTGTGCTTGGGAGAAGCGCTCGGCATACGCTGAGTATTCTTTGTATTCTTTCCAGGATTTGACGTCGTTGTCTGGCATGCATCGGAAGACTTGCCGGAAGAGCCTGGTGTTGTTCTCCGCTACGGTATGCCAGGTGTCTAGGAAGAAAGAATCGTTGAGTGGGTCACGCATGCAATCTTTGTCGACGAACGGTCGCTTCATATCAGCCACGAGAGGGTTCGTGATCTCAGCCGCCTTCTGCGATGGCGTCCGTTGTATAGAGGGTCCACCAATGTCGGTATCGTCGGTCATAGGCAGAGGAGGAAGCGTTGATGTTTGTGATAGCCCAAGTGTTGCAGTGCTAGTTCGAGCTAAAGGAGGTGGAGGTAGCGCGGCATTGCCTTTGCCGTCGTCGTCACCAACGGGAGTGTATGACCGTTTCCGTGGTGAATCTTGTTTGTTCGGTGATGTTGGTCTACCTTTTGCAGCGTTGGCATCTTCCGGCGATAGCAGCACCTCTTTGCCGCCAGTCTTCGCAGACACCAGGCACGTATCACGACGACCAGCTTTGCCAGCGTCCTCTTCTCGCTTCCATGCATCTATTCCCTCTCCAGCGACGTCCTTCTTGTGCTCCACATTGTCGGTGATGCGAGGGTCCACGGTGAGCTTCTTGTTTGACTTCAAATTAGGATTGTTAGCCTGCTCCACTGGAGCATCATAGTTGAAGCTGGACATTCTCTCGGCCTTCTGAATGGCTTCATCCTGAGCTCGATGTTTGGACTCTAGAATCTTATCTGCAGTATCACGATCCATGGCCTCCTTGCTGTGAAACTTGTTCATGTCGTCTTCCCACTGTCGCTCTTTCTGGTCCCTCTCCTCTTGCAGGTCATCTTCCAAGATTTCGTCAACGGCAATGCCGAGATGTTCCCGCATGAGGCGCATTCGCAAGGTGTGAGCAAATCGACCAACGAGATATGGCTCGCCGTTCATAGTTGACCAGAGCATATCAGTATCCCGGACCACAGCCGCACATTCAGAATCCCGAGAGCCCAGCATCGAGCGCTCATTGATATTCGCTGAACCAATGATTGCTATTCTGTCATCCACGACCATGCACTTTGCGTGGATGTAAAGCTGCTCTGTCACGAGCTGCTTGGTAGGTCCGATCCGGCCCCAGGAACGTAGGCTGTAGAATTGGATGTACTCCTCGGGCTCGATGCCTTGGGCGCGTACTCGACCGAAAATAGATGCTTCTCCTCGGCATATGCTCCGATATTGGCATTGCATAATAAGTCGGATACTTGTGCCATCCTGTTGATCAACGGTGTTCTGGAAACCGGGCATTAGAGGAATGACTATGACTGCACGCCAGTCTTCCCTTCTCTGCGAGGCTCTGACAATACGTTCGACAAGAGCATCACCAATATTATTCTCGATTCGAGTACCCTCAACCTCGCAGCTGCTGATGAAGAATTGGTTCTCAATATAGACAAAGTGCTCCGATTGCTCAATCGTCTTGATGTAGGCGTTCATGATGCTATGCTCAGTATGGTTTGGCGTCCCCAGCGACCACCAGCAGGCGGACCGCAGTATCTGCACTTCACATGTACCATTTAGTCCTAGAGCTTCAAGGTCTGCTGGCTGGAAATCTGGTGGCGGCAATAAGAATGGGGTGGGCCGAGTTGGCTTGCGTTGGCGTAGGATGTAATTCCATCGTTGCACGAAATGCCTAGTCAGATCGCGGGCGGGCTGGCCTACAATTTGCATATGTATGTCATGCCATGGCATCCGAGGAACCTTGGATCTATCGTACATCTCTTCGTATGGCTTTTCTAGAGCATAGAAGTCCTGAATTCTGGGATTGGAGTAGTCCTTGCCCGGCCAAAGCTGACAGTGATCAGCATCTTTCGGTGCGTCAGACTCTTCGAAGCCGGTCAACTTGTCGTCCACAACTGAATGCTGAGGAGTGTCCCATCGACCGAAACATAGATCGATTCCACCAACGAAGGCCACTATGTGATCAACAATGCAGATCTTCTCGTGATGAGCCCAGAAGAAAGTATTTTGTCGGAATTGATTTGGTGACCGTTGGACAAAGACATTGTGATGTAAGTCAAGAAGTGAAAATTTGGTGTATTCTGAGTCGATGGGGATGGCGGAGTTGATATTGCGGTACATTATGACGAAGACTTTGACTCCTTCTCGTGCCTTGCGTTGCAGTAGTCTATCCAGTCGCCACTTCTGACTGATTGCGGCAGGCCTTCGCATGTATAATTCTGGGCTCAGCCACCAGTCGTGTATGTAGATGACATCCTTAGCCATGCTTATTGCTCTAGACACGTTCCACATGTAATCTCTGCCGTCGACTAGCCACTGGGCAAATACATTAGATCGAACAGGAGCGAAGCTGTCAAAACGCTTGGGTTTGGCCCAAGAAGTAGTTGTTAGCATCCATTTGATCGACTCTTCGAATTGGTGCAGTTGCCTTTCAGTCTTGGCCAGCAGCTTTAGCTTTCTTTCCGAATTGCACAGCTTCAAGCTATGGTGCTTTGGATGTGACGCCGATTCCTTTGCGGCCTTTGCCATGTCTTTAGGCTTCCGCTCGCGCAGGCTTCTTCTCTTAGTCTGGACTTGAAAGCTGGAATCTACCAAAAAGACATCGTATATGTTCATCTCTTCTGGAGAGTCTACACAGACAAGGTAGCTGTGACGAACAGAAAACCACTTGGGACCATGACGACCTGCAAGCAGGGACGGTGTCCAAGCTTTTCGGAAGTCAACACCCTTCCCGGATTGTATGATAAGAAGTCCTTCTTTTCCGTGGTAACTTCCTTCGGCAGCAAGGCGCACCCCAAGAGCAGAAAGCTCGAGGAACTTGCACAATCGATTACTCTCAGGCCGAAATATGAGATATCGAATCATCTGCTGGAGATAAAGCTCAAGCTTCTTACGTTGCCTTTCTGGATATGCGTCTTTGCGCGCAGGAGCACTAGACCCCTCTCCGCCGTGCAGATTCGCAACACTTGACTTTCGCTTCGAACCCCCTAAGGAAGGGCGTGCTTTCTTCTTGCTGGAACGTTCTGCTTCACTTGCCTCACCGCCACTCGGACCAGTCCCCTCACCGTCTTCCTCGTCTTCAGAATCGCTTTTGAGACCTCTCGCATCCCGTAGATACGGAAACGCACTCCTTGGAAAACGAGGCAGCTTCGTACGTGCATCAGCATTCTTCAACCTGACATACTTTTGAGCACCGATCTGTATCTTGTAGCGCGTGTGTAAGGTTACGAAGTCTCTAAGCGCGCGGTGTATCACCCATTTCATCCTGGTCAATCCATTGCCATATTCCATTTCGATTCGAAAAATCATGTGACGTTCACCGGATTTCGAAGAGACCTGCTGGCTGTCCGTCAGTCTGACTTTGAGCTGTTCCAACAGTATTGGTATCCGCTTGTTTCCATGTTCATCTCTTTGGAACATGCTCGCAACTATAAGCGCCGCAGGAACGCCAGCTGTGAGTTCAGCAAGCAGCTCAGCAGACTTGGCATGATCGATGGTGTTCTCAGCTTTCCGACGTTGACCCATCATTCTCAAGCCGGCTTTCAGTTGTCGCCATTTCGCTGCACTCATTGTTGTAGCACGCTCGCCTCGGTGACCTTTCCATGGCGAGAAAGGAGAAGATTCGGTACCGTCATTGCTTGTTCCGAAACCAGTAAGCCTCCTCAAGTTGCTCGGTCGGCGTTCTTCGGTAGAAGGTTGCTGGCTTTGCTTACGGCTACCTGCATAATTCATCCCACGTGCACCCTGGACCCATGCACTACCCTTGCGCCAAGCGTTGGCTCGATGGATTTTGTCGCGACCTTCATCCTCAGAGACTCCTTGGCGTCCTTCTGCGGGCAAATCTGTCATGGTTGCTCTTCGTGGGAGAAAGGAGGGACGAGGTTTGCCTGTTGGAGTCATGGAACTACTGGACAAGAAGCCTGGCCGCATGTTTCGAGGCATCATTTTGGGGGTCGTGGGGGCCGTCTGAGGCCTTCCATCCTGTGGTCGTCGACTCTTCCGCCTTTTCCGATCCGAGGAGCCAACAGTATCATCCTCTCCAGTGCTCTCCTCTGCATCAGCGTCGAGATCACTTTCTCCCTCGCCTGACGTAACATTCATGGGCTCATCCCCCTCTGAGACATGTGAGACCTTCCGCTCGTCGACAGAGTCTCGACCAAGGCTAAAGCCGCTTGATGTCCTCTTGTGGGACTGCACACTAGGCGGGCTGGCGAAAGCCTTGATCTTATTGAACAGTGCTCCTCCCCGGCGAGATCTATTCACAGTCTCATCACCAGCAATGTTACCTGAACCAGACCTCCACTGTGAACCTGACTGCTCGGTTTCAACTGCTGGACGCGAGAACTGGACACTAGGTGGGCCTTGGAAATTGGAATCCTCCGAGCTAAATTTCGCTGGTTGGTCTTGCGGTCCGCTGGCATGATCCGCTGAAGCTCTTCGTAAAAGTAATTGGTGTGCAATGCCGCGCAGGCGCGGTACATCTGTTGAAGTGCTGTTTGTTCCATCCTCATAGGTATCGACACTATTCCCAAAAGGAAAACCGGTGGCTTCGGAGGTTGTAGAAGGACATACCAACGCGTCCGTCTTGGTGGAACCGTTCAGCTTCGAACGTTCTTGACGAATTGGAGAATATGTGACGCCTTTATGGTAATCTCTGGCACCGGCGTCTGATGGTTGCTCTGCAGAGTTCTGCGCCTGCGCCAGGCGTGGGGCAGGGGAAATGCTTCGTGGATTGACTTCCGCCATTATGACCAGTCTCGATCTCTTATAAGCGGGACAAGCAGAAACCCTCCTTCGTCAAAGACCGTCTTTCTTGTATGCATCAGGCGGATATCTGCAACGACACGTGCTGGCGAGAAACCAATCAATCCGTCTTCCCTGCAGTCCACAAGTGCGCGATCAATTCTGAGATACGAGATGTCTCAGGATTCGGACGGTCCTTGAGTTTTGTAGAGCGAGCTTCACGGAATTATTGGTACTTTCGAGGAATCAGCAGTCCAATCCATCTCTTCTGTTCGGTGCTCAGGCCCACGTCAACAGTCGTTCAAATAATTGAAGACATCTATGACTTGGTTCTAGGGTTCTCGAAAGGCAAAAGACTTGGCATCACGGCGAAACTTTGGCCGATGACCGATGGCCTTAGCGCGAAGATCCCATCGAGCATGGAAGTCTTCCTGCTAATAAGGTATTGATGAAACCTATTGCGCGCTAATGTGATGCTGAAAGCTGTTGCGTGCATCAGCAATGGACTTGGAAGCAAGTGCCTGCGAGAATCTCGAAACCCTCTATGGCGACAGATTTCTTCAGCGTACATATCCACCAATACAGCAATAAACAAGTCTCTAAGGCGATCACAATATGACACCAACAGGCCCGAGAGGCGGCGTACGGATCTACCCAGGTATTCTCCCCAAGACTCTGTGTCAGATAGACTCCCGCGAGATGGAGAACGGACTTTTGGAAAGCGAATGGGTGGATTCGATGCTCCGCGCGGACGGACACCCAGGCCCAACCACCAGCAGGAAACGGACGTCGAGAACGTCAGGGAGTCAGCAAGCATCAATGAGAATCAGAGAACGCAAAGACGACTTCGGAAGCCATTGCGAAGGAATGAAAAGGGCGAGTTCGACCGCTCCACTCGAGGGGCTAGATACGACTACACTACCCACCCTGAGGGCACCCGCGCCCTCCGTCGAGCGCTCAAGTACGGGCATGAGGTAGAGCCTGCCGTACTAGGCCGGTCCAACTCAGCCATCCGCCGAGCAGCTCACCGCATAGCTTTCCATGGGGACAAGAACCATAACTCGGAAAAAGACCTCTTCAAGCGCGCCCCCTTTGACCGTACATCTCGTCGTGCAGCTACACCTGAGCATGAAGAAGAGCAAGAGCATGGACTTTCAATGCCTGAAGAATTGCAGGATGATATGGACCCGTCCACGGAGCCTCATAGGCCTCGATTCTCAATGAGACGACCTCCCGATAGACTAGACCGTGCAACATATGCAAACCGAACCTCTGGCGCAAGTAGTGGCACTCTCGAAGGCTATGGAAGAGAGCTATCTCAGATTGATGACGAGCAATCACCACATCGAGGTACAAGCGTTCCATTGAGTATGCCATATACTACACCGGCATCCGAATTCCTCTATGGTACATCTGTAATTACAGCAGCTCTTCTGTCATCACGAAGGAAGCTCTACAAGCTCTACGTCTACTGTGGAGATAACAGAGAAGTCCATGAGCAGGATAGAAGGATCCGAGAGTTAGCGTTGAAGTGTGGCGTAGTCGTTGAGAGAGTGAAAGGAGATTGGCTGCGGTTGATGGATAAAATGAGCGCAGGAAGACCTCATAATGGCTACATATTGGAGGCGTCTCCACTACCGAAGCTACCTGTCACAGGGTTCCGGGCTGTTGAAAAGCGGAATGGAGCGTTTCATGTCATCTTGGACCACCAGTCACGCGAGGACGAAGCTGTGAACGGCACAAGCACCATCATAGCGTACGAGGTCGGCTTCCCAAGGTATCCCTTTGTGCTCTTACTGGACGGCATCCTTGACCCTGGAAATCTTGGTGCGATTTTGAGGACTGCCTTTTTCCTCGGCGTCGACACTGTTGCCATCTCTAACCGCAGCAGCGCTCCCGTCTCTCCGGTTGCAATCAAGGCTTCAGCTGGCGCTTCGGAGACCTTGCCCCTTGTGTCAGTAAGCCGGCCTGGAAATTTCATCGACGAATGTAAAAGCAACGGTTGGAAGATCTACGCAGCGGCTGCTCCAACCCCTGGCAAGCGGACTGGGGTCGGTAACTACTTCTCCACCTCTAATCTGGGAAGCCCCCTTCGGAATCATCCATGCCTCTTGATACTTGGCGCCGAAGGCGAAGGCTTGCATTGGAACATACAGAGAAAGGCAGATTTTGATGTTGGAATTGATGGCCCAAGAAATGGGCAGGGCAAAGTCGATAGCTTAAATGTCAGTGTTGCAGCAGGCTTACTGTGTGAGGCGTTTCTCCGTAAGCCTGCTGGGCGAAGGGAAGTGGATGTAGATGCACCGGTTGATGATGTATCATGGACCGTGAGCCCAGGACATGGTGCCAAGGTCCAGATGGAGAATCGAGTCTTTTGAAATTCCGTTGACATTCTGGATACCCAATCTTCTGGCATAGATTGACTGTTGTAACATGTAGAACTTAGACTCTGCTCCGATAAATAAAATGAAGCATGTTGCTTAAGTAGAGTGTCTTCTTGATGCTCCTCCAATGGCATTACTCGTGTTGTGCCGTTTGATGTGCCTCACCGCTGGCGCGCGGACCGTCTCTCTAGATTCAGCCTAACCTGTTCGAAAGTGACATGTGCCAACCACTCGAGAAGGTTTAGTCTGGAGAAGGAAAGGTCCGGTGCTCACGAGCGTACTTTTTGTCCACCGAATCGATCGCACAAGTTGACCAAATACAGTCGGCAGAGGTGAGCCGACCTCAGACTGAAGCTGATGCTCTCGACCGGATATCGTCCAGCCCGATCATGAAAAAGACGGCGACTTCTCCAAATGACATCAGCGCCAACTGACATCCATTGAATGTTTCTCATAGTTCGCTTGAGGCTGCTAAGCCATGGCCTCGACATTTGAAGGCACACATTTGCATGGTGGCGCGGACTTGTATCTTCATCTTCACGATGGCGGCCATGATGGAAACAGTAAACCTTCACCGAAAGGTCACCGACTCAATGGTGAAGATGATTCAATGCTCAACGGTATGTAGGTAGTTCCGACTATCAGGCACGGAGGGGTCGATAAAGTCTATGTCGTGGTTAGCAGAAGTCGCCAGCTACACCATGGCAGGGAACATTGACGAGAATTAGAGAGCCCAACCTACTGCCATCCATGACGACAGTCGCACAGGCGTTAGGTTATCAGGAGACTTTGGAGACTCTGGCTCCAGATATTGGATTTTGACATCACTATACTTGCATCCATCAGTTAAATTCATCCTAAAAAGCTCACTAAGAGATCTCCGCCTACAGGACTGACAGATGCGAACTGAGAGGTAGATCACACCGACAATGTGACTGAGGCTGAGCAGGCAGGCATAAGGGGTATCAAAGTTTATCAAAGACCAACTGGATTTCTATAAAGCGGTACATACAGTGTATTCTTCGGGATTTACAACAGACTCCTCCTCAGGGGGTTGAGGACCTGGGGCTCTCCTACCCTGTCTTCCAAGAAAACATCTGTGTGTGTGTGCGTATGTGCAGCACCAGAAAATGGCCCTGAATGTGCACGATTCATTTCTCTGCTGGTATCAAAAGTGTTATGAAACACGTTTCGGGAGCAAAGGTCTTCTTCTTACTCCTCGAACCCGATTCATACCCCAAGTTTCGCTAACTCCATAACGTGCGCAGGCGGGTATTTTTCAGGACGTCATGTTACAGTGTTGCATGCAGAAGAGAGATACATCCAGACCCTAGTCAAGCTCCTCCACCAGGGCTTCCCGAGGCTACGGTGAGATTACGTCTAGTGCCTCATTTTCTGATTGTATTTAATTAAAGTATCCAGGATCGTTCCCGAACACAGCTCGACAGAGGCTGCACTTGTAACCGTCCTCGACGGCAGAGAAACTGTCGTGATCATCACCGCCTACCCCTTGTCGCTGATCATTGACGATTGGGCTGGGGGATCCATCAAATCCTGCAGCCTGTGCTTTCCCAGTACCCACTTCCTCCCTGGCGTTTCGTGTTCGGTGGCATGTCTCTTTGGGACCAAAGGAACCCTTCTCGTTTCCCTGGCGTGTTTCGTGACCTAGCAGTTATCGTGATGATGTAGCGCTGATGCATGGAATACGTGTAGAGTCATTAGCAAAACTTCACACGATAGGATAGCATTGCTGAAGGCAGCAGCATCGGGTGACCCAAACTTCTTCCAGGTTCCGACAGCGCTCCTCGTTCCACACAAGCCGAACGAGGCGGCCAGGATGGCAAAGGCAAACATGCAGCTGTTGTATGGGTTCTGCCATTCGTTCTATCTCCTGCATTGGGTTCTCTCGAACACGGCTGTAGGCAGGGCCTGCTGAACTCTGGACAGCTGACGCAGAAAACCCTAGCAGATATTCTTGGCGTGCACGGCAGGACTTTCTTCAAGGAAGCCTCGTGTGAAGGACGGCTCATCATAGGTCCAAGCGCCTCAGCTCACATTCCAGAAGTCGTTGAGTCGAACACCCTCTCCATGAAGATCCTTGCATTTCCGAGAGGCCAGTATACCGGAAGTCTAGAGTGGACGTAGATCAGGAGAGACGTTCTTTTTAGTTTTGGCTCTGTGAAAAATGTCTGCTTTTCCTGGGTAGCCGGTCAAACGGTCAAACACAGCCCCGGTCGTCTCTCATTGGGCGCGGCTCTGCTGCCCCTTTTCAAGAATGAAGTCGTTTTCATGACAGTCGCCTTTTGAAACATTCAAGGTAGTATTACGCCTGGAAAGAGGGGGTTGGAAAGTCTGCTTGATCTTCCGCAGTAAACGGCAGATGATGACATGGTTGCATCGCTGCAGTAGGCCTACCCTGCAGTCAACCTTATATGCGTATGCAGCTCATAGTACCTTACAGTGTTTCGCCAGCATCGTAAGATGGCTTCACTTCGGCCTTGTTTCGTGTTTTCACTTTTGTTTTTACTGCCCGATTTTGCACCACTCGGGTGGTGAATTTTGCCGCCCTCTCGGTGCGGGACCGTTTCTTCACTTGTCATGTGCTGTCATGCGGCCGCCCTACGAAATAAATTCATTTCGCGCCTTCACTTGGTAGGCAGTGCAGTACTCGTAAGATTCATTCCGTCCCCTCTTCGACAGTGAATTGTTTAAGTGATGTGACTAGCCTTCTTCATCGGAGGGTATTTAAACCCTCTGATGCAACCAACCTGCTTCTTTTCTACATACTTCTTCCTTCCTTCCTTCCTTCCTCCAGCAAACACTCCTGAGCAAACTAGATATACCTCTTTGACAACAACAAAGCTTCAAACAATCTATATTGTGAAAGATTGACCACCACGATCAGTCCATCAACAGAAAAAGGTAGCTATCAAACGTCCATCTTCCTGCCGACACATGGCTAATGACATGAGCAAAGACAACCTAGTGTTGCTGTCAAACTTCATCGACTGCAACATAGCATCACTCCGACCTCAGCTATCTCTTTCAACACTCATCTATCACCACCATAGATACCTACTTACTCATCTCTTCAACACACAACATCCAGTTTATTCGAAACATCGCCTATCAACATCTCCTTCAAATATACCACACCCCGAAGGTATATCAACATCTCCAACATGAACACCAGTACCAACACTGGAGCTCAAGCTCCCGCATCGCCCGCTGAGAGCACCAAGGCTCAGCATTCGGTCATGTCGGAGCCTCTACGACCACGCTGGTGCGTCCAGCGCGACGACAACACCGTTGTACCATTGATCGCGATAGACGAGCTGCCCGATTCAGTTATCCTCAAAGGTGTCCCTATCACGTTGACAGTGCTCGAAGCCTTAAAAGCTCGCATGGAGCTTATCACCGGAGACCACCCAGCGCACGGTCTCCGCTACCAGCTTTACCAACCCATCAACACTCAGACCGCCGTGCATGAGGAAGGTGACGATTATGGATCCGATGATTCACCCGCTTCAGAAGGATCTGAGAGCTCTACTCAGAAAGGCTCTGCCGCATCGGACAAGAAAGGGAACAACAATGCTGCTGGTAGTGGGAGTGAAGCATCTAAGTCCAAGGACAAGGGCCTGGTATGAGCGCACACAAGTTCCAGCCATGCCAAGTATTTCTTTCACTATGCGCATGCTAACATTTATCCAATCATTTTAGAGGACACCAGCGCTCACCACCAATGACACTAGTATCTTTGACACCATGGCAAAGAAGGGAACCATGGGAAAGAAGGTCTACTGCACCTATTGGATCCAAACCGGCAACTGCAACTATATGCAGGAAGGTTGCAAGTATAAGCACGAGATCCCAAAAGACGAAGATACTCGTCGCGCGATTGGCTTCCGAGAATTCCCAAACTGGCCTAGAGAAGAACTGCCTATCCAAGCTAAGCCTGCCCCAGCTCTTCATAAGCCTTGGCGACGTCAGGACGGGAAGTCTGAGCATCCAGGTGTTCCAGGCCCTCTCCATCGCGCCGTTGCTTCTCCAGTTGCTGCACACGTCACCCCAACCATCGTGGCTCGCGGTAATGGCCAGGTGTCAGCTGGCGCTTCGACTCCAGGTCCTGCTGCCAATACGCAGTACAATCCCAACGTTACTGCGTTCATGGCTCCCCACCAGCATTTCCCGACTCATGCAAACCACGTGGCTCAGCAGCGTCCATTCTCTCAAGGTGGTCAATCCTTCCTTGGCAACGGTTCTGCTGAGAATTACCAACAGCGTTCAGCTCAGCACAACGCTTCACCACCTTCATATAACCAATCTGCGCCCCAAGCCATAAACGGTGGTCGCTCTGGTAGCTCTTCTCCACCAAAGCAGCCACCCATCAGCCGTCCAACCAGCCTAGGACAATCCTCAGTCGGTCAACACCAGAACCACACGGGCGCATCTACACGAAAGGTAGCTCCGGACTACCACATCATGAATAGAGCTAGCGGAATTTCTGGTGGCGGCGCACCTGCTTCAGGCGGCAACCAGGCTCCAAACAACGCCCGTCAGGGGTATAGCGGTATGCCCAACAACTGGAACCCGCAGACCAACGCACCAGCTTCGATGGACATCAGCTTCATCGCTCCTTCATCAGCGTCAACCCGCTCCGGCAGCCAAGCCGTCTATACTCCCACCTATACTCCCAACAGCGCCTCCGCCCCACCTAACCCCAACATGGGCAACAACGCCTTCGGAAGCTTGACCGGCACCGCCGCGTCCGACTCCCGCGCCAGCACTCCGCCCCACTACATCGGCAACGTCCCCGTCAAGGGCAGAGGCCCCGTCCAATTCGGCCGCGACTCCCCGGCCCCCGGCACCGGCAACGCGCGGGACACCCTCCCAGCCCCCGCGCACGCGGAGGAGTCCGATGCCGCATCCGTCACGTCGCCCCCCGTCCAGCACCGCGTCTTCTTCCGCAAGCCCGGTCAGCCCGAGTTCGTCACCAACCCGCCCGAGCCCAAGGGCGGCCAGAACGGCCGAGCGCCGCACGGGCTGAGGAAGCATGCCCGGAAGGTGCATGCGGCGAATGGGGGAAAGAGCGCGAAGGGGAAGATGAGCGGGAATGGGTACGATGTGCTCGTCGATGTGAACGATCAACAGTGATCGTGCGGGGGGGAGGGCGACGGGGAGGGAGGGTCTGGTGGCTTCGTCGGAGATGAGCGCTGGGCGTTGAGCAGCGAACAGCTGATGTTTTTTTTTTCTTTTCTTACCTTTCGTTACTTCGTGCGTGCTTGGGTGTTAACTATCACACGTTTATCCGTCGGTCTACAATCACACTGATGACTGCCACCTCACCGTGGCACGAGGTGTCTCAGACCTTCTTCACATCCGCTCGGCCATACGCTCGCCCTCTCTTCAGAGATGGCTGGCTCCGCAGCCCCCTGTTTCCTTTTTTTCCCTCTGTCGGTGCGGGGTGGCGGAGTTGTGGCCGGTTTTCACTCTTCCACTCGCCGATAGGTGTGTGGAAACCGAAAAAAAAACCCCCTAAAAAAATCATTTCGAGAGATGGAGCGTGCGATGGGGTTATTTGCGTTAGATAGGTGGATAGACTGCGGAGGGAATCTAGCATGCTTTTCACTGATGGTGATTTCCAATGAGTCGCTTGTGAAAATGTGATTGTACGGTCGCTGGGGATGTTCTGTACATAGGAGGCACCTCTACCTAGCCTCTACCACATCCAAAGTGACCCGCCATCGCGATGTTGTATATACAAATCACTGTCGAGTAGCCATAAGTACCATTACTACGTCCTCATCCTCTGCCTTCCTCCTTTCCCATACTTCCTTCCTTGCTGCGCGTCCAACAACGCCTTACTTACATCTCTAACCGGTAACCTCTTCATCGCCTCCTCCACCACCCTCACCCCTTCCACCAACTTCCCTTGCACCTCCCTCTCCTTCTCTTGTTCCAACCTCAACTTCCTATCCTCCTCCAGCCTCGCCTTCTTCTCCCTCGTCAACTTCCACCCCTCCGGAAACTCCACCTTCGGCTTAAACTTATGATGTCGGAAATCGAGCGGCACATCCTCAAACGTGTCCGTCCCATCCTGCGCCTCCTCTATCAACGTATCGACCAAGTCGCCCAAGTACCGTTTGTTCTGTGCCGGCGTCTCAAACATCTCGGAGCTCATCTTCACAATGTCGGTTTCGGGATTGTAGCGCGATCCGACCAATTTGATGAGTTTGATCCTTTGCGGTTCGCTGAGGGCGCGCAGGTCCCGCGTGCAGAACTCGAGAACGATCTTTTTGGAGCCCGGGTGCGATTCGCCCATGTAGGTCGTGTAGCGGAAGCGGAGGGGGTGGTCGAGAGAAGGAGGAGCAAATGGTTTGGCCAGCTCTGCAGAGACGCTTGTGTCAGCTGAGGCCGCGTGGGGTCAATGGAACAAGGGAAGCGACGTACTGCTAAGCAAAGGCATCTCCCACGCAGCTATCCTCGCGTAGTGTCTCATCTCCCTATGCTGCTCCAGCTCGCCGTGGCCCAGCGACGTGATGTCGTCGCCCTCAAACTCCTCATCTTCGCCCGAATCCTGCACCTCCACTTCGCCCATGGCGAACAACCCGGGTTTTATCCGCGGCATGGTCGAATCGTCATGCGGTACCTCTTCTGACGTCTCGTACGCTGCTTGAGACACCTCGCCCTGTAATTCGGATTCGACTTCCGGGCTGGTCATGTGGTTGTGCATTTGCTGCGCTTCTTCGCGCCATTCCTGGCGACCTTCCGGTGAAAGGGAGTTGTAGGTGGAGCGTTCTTCGGAGTCAAGGTCCGAGAGGGAGAATTTGAAGGGCTGGCGCTCGGATTTGTGGCGGGGTGCGTAGTCTTCTGAGTCGTGTCGACGGCGGTGGAGGGGTGTGGTGTGGAAGGCTCGGTTGGGACACGTTAATAGAAGGGATTTTCTTCGCACTGGTATCTGTGATGTATATCGAAGAGCTGTGAAGCCCAAGCGATTGGCGGCGGCAGCCATGCGAGCTTTGCAATCGGAACTTGGTCTTTGGTAGCTCACAGTTGATTTGGAGAACAGTTTTTGGTGGCTGAGTCATCTATCTCAGCCTTACGAGTACCAAGCTGCCACTGCCACTGCCGTGCTAAGCCCAGCACGATTGGTTTGGACTTGTGTTATATCTCCAACAACCATGGTGGTATTGCGGCATGAAACGAATGCTACGTAATATAATAATAATATACCCTGAAATCTTTTCATGTCATACTCTCTGTTTTGCCCGGGCGGACGGCTCTTGCCGTCTTCCGGTCGCCTTTTGCCCTTGTTGTCACACAATAGGCGCCTTTCCTATCAAGCAATTTCGGCCAACACAAGTTTTGGAAGCTGTGCCTTGTGCATGGGCCAGCTCTTGCCCTCGTGGTTTCATCAAAAATGCAGAAAGACACGGGTGCGGACATATTGGAGCAAATTGGAGCCACACTCCGTACCCCAGGAGCAGAAAACTCCCGTCTTCCTCCAGCATTGTCCTGTTACTTAGGCAAAACGTCGTGGTCGGACAACGAAAGCGTCGGCTTATTGCCCCACAGGAACGCCACTGGCTCCACAATCTGCAATCTGCGTAGGTATGTACGTACATCTCGAAATGAATCCTTCTTACTTAGAAGCAAGTCGGGGCCACAGTTCATATTTCGGGACCAGAGAGCTCCTCTACTCCTCCAGAAACATCTTCTTACTTAGGTGAAATGCCATGTTTCGGCAGCGAAAGGATCTTGCTGCTCTTCAAGCGTGTCTCATTTGACAATCTATTACCCAAAAAGAAGGAGACTGAGTCCAAAGTCCGCGCCGTCTCGTCAAAAATTGTTCTACGAAACAATTCCCTAACCCACAGAAGGTTTCAGGTTTTTGTTCAGTTAAGACGGGCAGTTTCCGACTGCGTACGTTAGAAAACTGGCGCATGAAACAATTTGCTCGATGAAAGGGATTCGACTCTATCTTTTGTCAAGGCCAAGCGCTCTCCATTCTCCTACCTGTGGTGTGAACAATATGAGACCGTCCCGTAACATGTTTCCGATCTCATACCTGGCTTCCGTTGTTTCGAAAGTCAGGCAGCCTCATATTGAGTATAAAGAGAAGTCCGGCCTTGCTCTTCTCTTGTGTCTTTGTACAACAAGCACACCAAAAAAAGCGCACATAGCATTCAAGCGTACGATTTTCACGCGCACTCAAACTCCACACACAGCATCCACGCATAGCATTCATACGCACAGTTTTCACAAGCAATACCAGACTTCACACTATTCGGAAACCCTTAGTAACAACAACCAGAAATCAACCGTCATGCCCCACGCAACCGGACCCTCATCCTCAGACACCTTTGATTCCGATCCCAGCGCTCGACCACCACCTCGCATTCAGGTTCCTCCGGGTACCCCCGCCTCTGAAAATCCCCCTGGCAGCAACTCTCCAAATGGCAACCAAGCGTCCTGGTCCTACGGCTACGTGAATCCCCGCTGCTACGACTACGACTGTGCCCCCGCTGATGAATACGTTGAAATTCGCCTCAGAACCGGAGGACCTGACGTGGTGCTTAAGGGCCAGCAGGCGGCAGCGGCTAGGTTCAATGCAGGCCCCTGGCGCGATGACCTTCCTGTCAAAGTCTTGTTTTTTAACGGGTCGAGAGAGACCTTCATGGTCGAAGCATGGAGTGGTGAACTGCCGTCCAGGGAGATTTGAGGCGGAATCTGGCGGAAAAGGAAAGGGTTGGTGGGATGGAATCTCTCGACAGCGCCGAGGGTTGGGGTCATCGGGTTTCCTTTCGCCGCAGGCGCCATGACATACCGGGCAACGATTGACTGCTTCGATCTTTCAGCCTATAGCGTTCGCTTTCGGTTTAGGGCTTGAGATCCTGGGTATCTTGTCTTGAGCCTGTCGGTTTGGAATTCCGGAACATACATGCGTTGCTTTTCTTGGATGTTTGGTTCAAGCCCTAACACTCCATTCACACTCTTTTGTACAGACACTAGTCAGACACAGCACCTAATGCCAAACAAAATACTCGTAATCCAAAACCGAAGAGCAGAGAAACATCTCTGGCATGTCTCGTTCTACAGTCTATCACCCAAAAAGAACGGCACCGAATCCAAAATCCGCGCTGCCCCACAGCCTCTTGCTCAATCCGTCCCGTCTCGTTGGGCGGTCGTCCGATGGTAATCCCATCATCGTTCCCGGCCCCCTACTCAATTTGTGCCGTCTCATCAGGCGGTCGTCCGGCGGCAAACCCCTAGTCAATGAAAGGTTCCAAAGACCCTGTCCAAACGAGGCGGGCAGCTCCTGCCAGCTCTCTGCATTACGAGTCGCAGCACACCTTTTTGTCTCATTCGCTCCGATACCCTACTCAGTCTTTGCTGCTCATATGGCAGGAACCCGTTGCATGAAGCATTTCATCCAACGAAGGGCGCCCGAGTCTCTGTTTTGTCAAGGCGAGCCATACTTTCTTGTCTATATGGTGTGAGTAGTACGAGGCCGCCTCTGTTGGTCATAAGGCTGGAAACCGTTGGTGCCGTTTCATGAAGCATTTCGCCTAGTTAAGGGCACCCAGCCAAGGGCACCCGAGTCTCTGTTTTGTCAAGGCGAGCCATACTTTCTTTTCTGTATGGTGTGAGTAGTATGAGGCCGCCTCTGCTGATTATAAGGCTGGAACAGGTTGGTACCGTTTCATAAAGCATTTCACCCAGCCAAGGGCACCCGAGTCTCTGTTTTGTCAAGGCGAGCCACACTTTCTTTTCTGTATGGTGTGAGTAGTACGAGGCCGCCTCTGCTGATTATAAGGCTGGAACAGGTTGGTATCGTTTCATAAAGCATTTCGCCCAGCCAAGGGCACCCGAGTCTCTATTTTGTCAAGGCAAACCACGTTCTCTTGTGTTTTCATATTCAACAAGCGCACACAGCATCCATACACACAGCTTTCTCACACATCCAAACTTCACACATAGCATCTATACATACATCTTGCAAACCCACAGCGTCCACACACACACACACACATCCAGTCTCCACGAACAGCACCCACACGCACAGCTTGCACACACACATTCAGTCTCCACGTACAGCACCCACACACACAGCTTCCACACACATACACTCCGTCCCCCCATACGGCAGAAGACTCTACCAAAGCCAAACATCCTTCCCAGCGACACCGAACCTTCTCACATCAACCGCGATGTCTCAGTCCAGTTCCAACGTCTTCGTCAAAGCCAAGCGTCCCCCCCTGAGCTTCAGAGATTACCGGCGCATCTGCATGGTGAAATGGACCCACGAGCTTGCCTCGAAATTCGCTTGGGTCACACTCTGCGCCAAAGATTATGAAAATGAACGTCTACCGTCAGAATTAGAAGGCTGTGAGCTTGGCCATCTAGTGATGCAGGGCGAGTGGTTTAGGCAAATCACTGACGACGGCAAGAAGAGCTTCCAGGATGGCGACTTGTTCAATGTGGCATGGTCACTGCGTACAGACCAAATCATCTGGGCCGCACCTAGGGATCCGGGCCCAAGTTCCGGGCAAAATAACCAGGGGTTCTGGTAAGGAGATGAGGTGAGAAGGGGTGGAGGAAAGGGCGGGGTAGGATCTCTAGGCAGGGCCGAGAGTCAGCGTCATGTGGTCTCGTCTGGATGCATGTGCGAGGGCCTGTCGATCGCTGATGTACTGCTTCATTCATTCTTTCAACTTGGTCGGGGACTCTGATTTTGGTGGGTTGGCGTTCAGAAAGATGCATGCGTTGCTTTTCACAATTCCTTTGTCGAAGTCCTGAAACTCCAACCGCACTCTTTTGTTGAGACACTAGTTAGACAGCACCCAATTCCAATAAAAATACTCGTAACCCAATCAGCAATGCATAAAGTAATGGGAAAAGAAATCTGCCAGGTGTGAAGAGTTTTACAATACCTACAAGATCGTTTCACTGACAGTCGATCGCAAAGCGTACCTCATCCAGGTCTCATAAACGCCGTGCTACCTTAGACACTCGTCCTTCCGCCTGCTCTACCCAATCTCCCACTCAACCCGTGCGGTTGTGCAGCCCATATTCCCCAACAGAGTGACACCGCAAAGCGGACGAGACCGCCAGCGGATCGCGGGGTGCAGGCCCCATACTGCGTCCCACGCAAAAAAGCCCTCTCGAGCCAGCCATCAAGAGATCCGCTGGGGATGAGTGACTTTGGATGTGTATCAGACGGCACGATATGATAGGGAGGAGTCGGGAATTGCGGGATGCGGCACGCGCGCTCCCTCGAATGAGAGATTTGTTGAGCGAACCGTCGGTGCTTAGAGGGTTTGGATCCGTGTTAGACGTTACTATTAAACAACAGACAAGCCAGAAACCGCCTTATGGCTCTTCATCGTCGCCCTCGTCGATACCCGTACGCCTTTCCAGATCATTAGGCCTGTGTCGTTCGTTCAATTACAGCGTGTCCAGCTCCATCTCAGCGCCTTTTGCGGAAAACAGAGCACAAGGATATGGCCTCTGCAATTGGAAGGCAATCCTCAGCGGCGCCGTGCATTTTCGATCCAGCGCAGATTCTGCTGTGGTGGATCAGGGAGGTGGAAGGGGTAGCCGCGGCCCCTGTGTTGTGTTGTGTTGAGATAAGAGTATTGCCGCTAGCTAAGCTCGCCTTGGACTGATAGAGGTTGGGAAGTCACGAGCGAGATCTGGCTAAAGGATTGCCTGGCCGTATTGACGTTCTGATCTAACTGCTGGAAGAAGGTGATGGTAGTAGACTTGGCGCAGCGAAAAGGGAAACATAGACCAAATAAAAACAAAAGTAAGCAGCAAAAAGAAAGTTGTCACGCCGGTTTCGAACCCAAGACCCAAGACAACACCAAAAAGAATGACCCATATAGGAGACATCTTTAGGGATTGGTTAACCCTCCGCAATACTCGAAGTTTCAGCCAGGTCAAACGATGCGCCACCAAAGTTGACCCGACCTAGATTGCGATTTGTCTCGGACTGGCTACCGGATTAAGTACCTGGCGGTCAATTACAACGAATAGCTCTGATAGTCGGAAGACGGTTTTGACGCAAGACACGGCTTCAGCCTGAGCTAGAGAACCGCCGCTGTCTGGGGATTTGGTCGTTAATTCATTTATAATCCTTTGTTTTTTTGGTTTTCTTGCTCCGGCCGGATTGCCGAGACTTTGCTCCTCGTCTTTCAACACTTTCCGTCAAGGCCCTTCTGAATCTCGCCGATGAGATGCTATAATTGGTAAATCATCTCTACTAGCAGCGCTGTGTTTCCCTTCTAGTTTCGCAATCTCCCTCGCATATCTCAACCCTTTCTTACCGTCCAACTCCTGATACATGGCCTGGCACCACTTCAACTCCTGGCCTGGATAACGCTGTAGTACGAAGAGAGCGGTCCGCAATGCAAACAGGCTTTTTTGGGCGCCCATGAGGCCCATCTTGTCGTTCAGACAATAGGGCATTGAGCGGATAATGTTGGTAGCGAGCTCTAGGCGGTAAGCCGTGGTGTGAGCTTCGAGGAGGTGGAGGGACATGGTCTTAAGGTTTTGAGTTGCTTGGGGCGGGGTAGAGGATGATGATTGGGTGGGTAATTGGATGTTGATTGATAGTACTTGCCGGCATGCGAGGGCGATGGTATTGCTGAGGATGAGTCTTAAGCCCCAGTATGTGACAGTTATATTGGCGAGACGGAGCGTATGGAACGCGAAGGATGGGAGTGTGCGAGGTCCTACAGCTTGTTTCAGATGCCAGCCGGGAGATGTGGATTGAGTAGACCAGTAGAGGGGCAACGGAGACTCTTGGAGAATCTCGCCGTACCAAAGGTTTAGTTCTTCATCCAAGCCAGAGAGACCTCCCAAGTACTCGGACAAGATTGAGAAGTTGGTATTCTCATCCGTGACTCTTGCATTGTCGATTCCCTCTAGCAGAGCCGCTAGCGCGAAGCCTTTGTCGTAGAGCTGCTGGAAGATGTCTTTGCCGGTCTCGCTCCAGGGCAGCGTCAACCATTCTGGGCTCCCAAGGAACGTTGACCTGCGGTATTGTATGCATTGGATCATCTAGGGGGACTGGTTATTATTTTGAGTTCTGGAGTAAAATTGCTGACTACAGGATGCATACCGATGAGGTACGAAACTCTTCAAGAACAGCTCTTGTGAATGGCGTCATATGTCTCTGTGGACCTCGCATAAGGACCAGGTGCTTGAGACCAGATATGTGGCTGTTCCACCCGGCTATTGATGGAGTAGTTGATTCGAATAGCTGGAGGATTGTCAGCTTGGTCTGAATCGAGCGTGAAACCTTAGTAAGATTATTTACCTCGTAGATCGACAAGACATAACTAGCAGCAAACAACTCGTCCTGCCACATCAGAGCCTCTGATGATAGATGTTTTTGAACCGCATTCAGGGCACGGCCGTAACACAGGTTACCTTGCAGAACCAGCGACTCATCTTTGTTGATCCAGCCAATTCGGGTCATCGCAAAAGCCTTGAGAGACAGATCCAGCGGTACCGCGCGAGTTGGAAGACTGATTATGTGGTGGAGCCAGACGCAGGGTGTTCCACCTTGAGCGCTGCTGATGGAAGGGGTGTATTTTTCCCACAGTGCCGATATGATCTGCTGGTCGACTGCAGTGCAACCATTAGGCTGAACAAGAACGCGATTGTCATATGCTCTGCGGCTCTCTACAAGCCCCCGCTGAAAATCAATGTTGGATACCATGGGCTGTGGCTGGGACAGATCTCGGTCTGATGATTGTGAGAAGGGGGCCTTGACTTCTTCGAGGCCATATCTCTTCTCTGGACCCTGCAAGGTACGGTTGAGAAAGACTGGAAAGCGTGCATAGCCTTCGCAAATCCGACGGCTCTTGGTGCATGTCTTGCAGAATGGTTCTTGAAGATCGCACTGAGATCCAAGTTGGTGATTGGCTTGGCGGCTGAATGAGAAATAGAGTGCTTACTCGTATTTTCCGCCTCCTGCACGTAGTGCAGCCCTTAGATTTTCCCGGGACGCCAACCATGACAAAAGGAATTTCTTACTTCTATCTAATGTCGAAAGAGATTTGACCAGCCTAGATGTCTTTCATATGAGTCTGCTGGATGTGTCTTTCGCAACTTTCATATATACAGAAGTCTTCTACATAGCCACATGATCGTCATCCAGCACTGACAATCACTTTATCCGGCTCCGCTTTTGACGGATCATGATTAACGTAGGATGCAGGGTCTTCAGCCTCAGTCGGCATCCTTACTTAGCAATAAGGTACCGCCAACCTTGAAGCGGCCTGATTATCAACATGAGAGCTAATATTATCATTAAATGCAATTGGTCCTTGGTAAATGCTCAGCCACTGATTGTCCGTCGGCACTTTGCGTGAGGATTGGAAGTCGGCCTAACAGTGTCGCCGAACCTTGACGCCAGTCACGCCACCCGCCGGCGGCAACCTTATCACACGCTAAACCCTTATGCGATATCAAGGAGCGAGAAGTTCTGAGATAACCGAGCCTTGGCAACGGCCCTTCAGAAATTCGCGTCTTGACTGACGTTTCGAGACGGCCTCGAGCGATCTTGGATGACAGGGTATGAGTATCATCCCAATGAATCTATATCAAACTCAAGCTCTACGCGCCTATTGGCTACTATCTTTGAGTAGAGCGGTAAAAGGTGGGACCGAGCTAAGATTCCCCTTCCCACGAGGGGTTTCTTCCTCGCTTCTTACACATCTTGTATAGGATGTAGCTTTAGTCAGGCTTTCGAGCTGTTCATATAAAGCCAGGATAAATCCCTTACTCTTTAGTAGCCGTAGACCGTCCCTAAGCTTTTTTGCCTCATAAGATCTACGAGCCATTTGAACGAATCGTCCACCTTTCCTTTCCAGTGCGATCCATATTCTCTCCAAATGGCCTTGTTGGACCGATCATCCACACTGGCCGCCACGCTGGATAACTCACAGCGTGGCAAGGGATGCGTCCCCTACGACACCAACGCAACAGCCCCAACCTACGGCTATGATCCTGATCTTGGTGCCGGCATCGTCTTCACCGTCGTCTTCTTTCTCTCAATGCTGGCGCACATCATACAAGTGACCATGAGCCGCAAGTGGTGGTACTCTGCCTTCGCACTGGGTGCTTTTGGTTTGCAGTCATGACGGAGCTCACATGCCGCAATTTGCTAACTCATTGTTCTAGGCGAATGCCTGGGCTGGGCAGGACGAGCCGGTGCCCACAACTGCCCATACAACAAGACCCTGTTCTCTCTTCAGATATCCATCCTCATCATCTGTATGCGTGCTCCTCGAGCGGCCTTCTTCGGTTACACGAGCTGACAAGTACAGCACCTTGTTTTTTCAGTGCCGCCATCTATTACATTCTCGGGCAGATGATCACGCAATACGGCCGCCGCTACAGTCTCATCTCGGCACGAACGTACCTTGCCATTTTCGTATCTTTTGATATTATCTCGATCGTTATTCAGGCTGTTGGTGGTGCTAGCGCGTCTAAAGCCGGAGGAGAAGATCCGCCGGGAAATACTGCGCCTGGAACACACATCATGATGGCTGGTATCATCATTCAACTCGTCTCGATGAGCGCTTTCGGACTGCTCTGGCTTATCTTCCTTTGGCGTGCCCGAGCAGTGCCGATCTCAAGGGTGTTATTGGTGGTAACGACGTTCTCGGCTTTCTGCATCATCGTCCGTAATTTCTACCGCGCCATCGAGCTCTCCCAGGGTTGGAAAGGGTACTTGATCACGCACGAAGTTTATTTCGCTGTCCTCGATGGGGCGCTTATGGCTCTGAGCGTAGGCGTTTTTAACATTTTCTTTCCTGCAAGATACCTGACTGGTGAGGCCGAACTGGATATTCGTGATCATGAGATGTTGACAACGGAGGGAGTCTGAACCGGGAGTTGCAGAGCTGGTGCCTTATAGAGCATACAAGTAAGATAGAGCGCAGGTTGCATGATGTATTTATTCCGAGCGTTGTCGTTGTCTCACCTATATGTGGTCATTCTGTCGATTTAGATTAGCAAATACTTCTTGCCGTGGGAACATATACAGATTTGATTAGATACCTTTTGCAGGCTCTTCGAGCCAATTCTGCAAGAACATCAAGAATTTTTCGAAGATGCCTCAATAGTGGCTAATTCCTGTCTACGATTGTATGACTTTCCCGCACCTTGTGGAGAGCCATTCGGTTCCTCGATTGCTTTCATGTGGCGTGAATTCCCTAGATACTAAGAAATCATTCTCGCCTAAATGGCCAACGTGGTCTTAGCCTAGGGGGAGGCGAGATTCTAAGTCTGTCTCGAGTCTCCATCGACAATGGGTTCCCAGGTGTAGATGCTAGGTGTCATCAATCCCTCGTGGAGTCATCGTATTAAGCTCCCTGCCTCAACCGATACCATTCAGAGCCTTCCATTGGGGATGAACCGATTGTACGGCAGAATGACCGCACAAGTCGTCACCTGCACAGCAATCACCGTCCCAATAGTCAGGGCTCCCTTTGGAACCGCAACCCTCCATAAAGCAGACCCTGTGACCCCTTCTGCCCTCGCAATGATCCCACTTCCCAAGCCTCCAGCCGTTGCCCCTATAAGCCAGCAATACCAAAACGGCTTCGGGGGTAGCTGCTCCGGAGAAAGCGTCGTAGATAGGAAGGTGTAGGTGCCAAAGCAGCAGAACATTTTGCCAGACTGGCTCGTCAGGCTCGCCATATCTGGCAACTTGTTCCTGAACAGCGACTGCACGCATACTTCCGCCAACCCTCCAGCAGCGCCTGAAAGCCCGCCTTTGATCGCGACAGGTATGGGAAGACGCTCAACACGATAACGGGCGAGGTCGAAGGTCCAGAAGCGGACACCGCCTCGGTATATAGGAGCCCACCCCAGAAGTGGTAGGGATCCAGGTGCTCTAAGGACGAGACGTTGCCAAAGGCTTTCAATTGGTATTGTGGTTGCGCCGGCGAGTGCGCCAGTCAGGAAGAAAATTCCTTGGCTGGAGGGAGGAGGTACCCTTCCGGCTCGTATACTTGCCGGCACTGGTGGTGCTATGCCATCATCATCTTTGAGAGGCATGATCCGGCATCGACGTGCGAGATAACTTCCAATTCTCTCCTGAGCATTGGACGTAGATTGTGCTATAGGGCTGATCTCTGCGCTAGCTTCGTCTGTGAGGCGGCAAGACCCCGCCCCCTTATATTGAACAAATGCAACAGTATCCCGTGACTGATAAACAATTCACCAAGTCCATGGTGGACCATATCAAACACCGTTATCACCAATCATCTCATAAAGATCATGGTCGCTATAGAAAACAGTGACGTCGACAATGATCTTGTTTCACTCAAAGCTTGCCTTCAACGGCCTTACAGACGGAAACAGCAGCAGGCTCTACGATTCAGATGCTAATGCACTTATATAAAGATGCAAACTCCTTGCATACTCAAAGGCTTGACTTTAACCCTTTCCAAGAAATGATCTAGCCATCAAAGTCTCAATACCTCATTCTGTTCGTGGCATTGAAGAAGTTTCTTCACCTCTTGCTGGGAGATTCAATAATGATCCCCGCACCGATTATGGCCACAATTTTGCCGCGCTTCCTTCGTACTTCCTATTCGACGATAATGCTCGCACTGAGTGGCTTGGCATGCTGTTCATATAGTACACTGCCGTTACTCGCCTTTTCCGGCCTGCGGATTTGCTCGGAGCTGGAGCAACCAGTGCAAGTGTCAGCTACATGCAACTACGGACGATTTGCCATTTCAATGAGTCCCCGAGCGTCTCCAGACCAAGATCATCGTCAAGATCCTTACCTTCGCCTTATAATGCGGCAACCCCCCGCGCATTCTCTCGTCCTTTGCTATATTGTGCAAGATGGACGGCCATAGAATTGACAAACTCGGAGCAAACGTTCATCTCTGCGTCTATCCTGCTGACTTGCCAACTCATAGGATCTCTGCTGTTGTCAAGACGTAAAAGGTTTGTATATCAACCGCTCCACCTCTTGCGGCACCTATTCTATTCCATCATCAGCAGGTCTGATACAACCAAGCTGCAGTCTATTGTTTGACCTTTGTTACATAGTCAGAGCCAATAGCATGATCTGACAGCTTTGCAGAACTACTTATATTTACTCAAGTCCTTCTTGACTGGCTCCGACAATTCGTCGATCACTTCAATAGTTTCAGTATCGTCCAACATGGCAAGCCCCGGATGTTAGCTGAGCGGCGAAGTGCTTGAGCGGTCAATATGCTGCATTGCCTACTGATGATTTATTGATAAATCCTGTGAGCGCACTTGGGTCTGGCCCTAGCTTTCTGGATGACGAGACAAAGTTTGATGATAGGGTAGAATAATGTTGAGAACACTGACAAATGATTTGCTGTCATGAAAGAAAGCTGTTGCCGTTATGAGAATGTCTTCGAAGCATGTATAGATGGCGGCGAACCGCCGATAAGACAATGACAATATATTGAAATCTGAGTAAACAGCTAGCTTTGCGGTGCTCATTGGCTTGCTGATGTAGGAGCTTGATCGTTCGATCGAGACCGCTTCCCTGGAGCTCCACTGGTCTTCCTTGAAGGTACTGTCGGGAAAATTCCTGATGGGACTCGAAGAGCGCTCCTGCCCTGGACACTTAACTTGTGCCTTAGCAGGGCGTAAGTCAATATTACACCCCATCTCCAGCCGTGCCAATATCTTATGCCCCAAAAGCAGGCAGTTAAGACTCCCGTACAACAGAGGACTCCACCATCCAATAGTCCCCAGCACCTTCTCCCCAATGATGTTGCAACCTCAGGAAAGCGAATTCATCATTTGCTTGAGATACGGAAAAGAAGTAACCAAATGGTCAGGGATTTGATTGTGAAACTAGATGTGTCAGGATGCTATTCATTCTGAGGCAGTAGAGGGGGATGCTGAACAGCAGATAGTTCGGCGGATAATACATATCCTCCTCTTTGCACTTGGGCAAGCAAATCTTTGAAAGCATTCACGTACAAGCAACTCGATGCAGTACCGCAAGCATACATGACTCTCTGTCAATGCATAATAAGACATAAAAAGACGGTGCCAATTTCAATGAAAGTTAGAAGAATCTGTAGATATGTTGACGCTTGTTTAAACAGCTAGAAGGACGATATTTCTTAGCCCCCACAAGCAAGCCTAGAAACGCTGAGCCTCTTTGCGACATCTTTGCAGCGCATAAAAGAACGGGGCCGCATCTCTCAGCTTCTCTGAAAAGACGAAGACTGTGAGAGCTCCGGGGCCCGCCGTCCACCCGACGGCACCCATCCAGCGGGCCTCGGAAACATGCCTAGATACCCGCGGTTGGACGGTCCGGGCGCTTATCCTACCCCGGAAAAGAACCTCACTCTACCTTAATCCCACCAGCCCTCTACGACATTGGACCACCCTGGCCGCTAGATCATCGACCAAAGTTTATCATGTCAATGCCCCGCAAGAAACGCAAGTCGCAGAAGGTCTGCTTTGTTACTGTCGGAGCAACGGCAAGCTTTGACTCCTTGGTCAAAGCCGCCCTTAGCCCGCAATTTCTGGAAGCTTTGGAGACCCATGATTACACGGACCTGCGATTACAACATGGCAAAGATGGACAGAAGTTGCTCGAGGGGTTCAGAAGAAGCAGTTATGCCATGAGTGAAGAAGTGCAGGACCTCAGCATAAGTGGTTTCGACTTCAACAAGCAGGGTTTGGGATCCGAGATGCGGGCTGCCAAAGGCCAAGGCAACGGTGTAGAAGGTGTTGTCATCAGCCACGCAGGTACCAATTTATCCCTGCGCTATCGATGAGACCTCAGGCTCACGTATTGGACAGGATCTGGCTCTATCCTCGACGCCCTACGAATTGCGGTCCCCATTATTGTTGTTCCCAATTCAGACTTGTTGGACAATCATCAGGAAGAGTTGGCAGAAGAGCTTGCAATACAAGGCTATGTGGTTCATGGAAATCTCCAGTACAGTCTCTAGGTGCAGTGTGCAGGACAAGCGGTTGACCTCGTGCAGTGATTTACCAGCCGCGATCCGACAGTCGGAGAGTCTACGGAAGACACAGAATCCTTGGCCACCGGCGGATACCGGGGAAGATCCTAACGGCAAAGGGCTTGTTGGTGTCATGGATGATGAAATGGGTTTCGTTGACTAAAACCTTTGCTTTTAAGTATCCCACGGCCACCTTGCGATTCCCATTCAGTGCTTCGAGGTAGTCAAACGCTCAATACCAAGAGCAGGAGGCCATGAGAACCATCTCAGTGCCGCAGGACCTACCTGTTCGGGAAGACAGGCTTGCGTTCTGGGGAAAGCGCGACCAGAAGAGGGATGCGGATCATGACAAACACGTCGTCACTCCAGCAGTGGAACTCCGACCAAATCTAGAAGCCACGATCTCCCACTTTAGATTAAGATCAGGCCGCTCTTGACAACCTGAGAGCGAAGCTCCTACATTTGCTCGGCCTCGAAGATTAGGATGTCGCGGATCAGCTGCAGTCAAGGGGTCCTGAATCACCTGCCGGCAGTTACCTTATTGTAGGCATTCTCCGGATTTTGCCAAGCCAAACCACCTTTACGATTCAACCATTTAGGACTTCCCAGCAGCAAGGCTAACTTACAAAAGTATTTATAAAAATTCTCATCTCGTGGCTAGGGGCCTAGGCCTCTCGCATCCACAGCCACGAAAGCCGCCTTGTCTTCTTCGTTCAAACTGCTCTTCCGGCCCGCCGCGGATGATTGCCAGAAGGATGCGATGCCCGACAAGGAGACACATTGGAGGGTTGAGCTGCTTTTGAGTTGAGAGTATACGAGAGGAGACTACATCAGCGTTGGGGAAAATATAGGCCATTTGCGTCCGTATTTTAGGGATGACACTTGTCACAGAAGATGTATGCACCAGCCGGTTCCCGTTCACTACAGGAATTGATCAGATCTTTTCTGCTACCCAGGAATAGCTTCCCATATCTCCATCATGCCTCCATCGCAAAGGTTTTTGGTATCCACGCAGGAGCAGCTCTTATACCAAGGATAGTCACTAATCCTTTTGCGTTGTTTATAGCTACCCCTCAACAACAGGATCGATCGTGGGATTCCGATCCGGAGCCTGATGGCTTTCTAACGTTGAACGAGATCGAACGACATGTAAGATGGCAGCGGTTCTGAGTCTCAAATTCATAGATTTCACACTCGAACAGGTTGCAATTGTCAAGGTTTCGGATCGCAAGCTCGTGGGTCTCCGATATTTTCTTTATGACAAACTTCGAGAGACTGGCCAACCGCATAGCCCTCCTGATATTTCCGCGGTAGTTCACGCTTCGCAGCAATAGCCTTACCTTCTCTAATCATGGGATCCTGACCGTTAAAAAGGCTCGCTGAGGTGGGGAGTATACGTACACACGTCATTTGTCGCCTGTGTGACACACGCAGTGGCTATAAGAGCATGCGGTTGGATACACAGCAGAGGGAGACGATCACTTGGACGCAGTACAATTCGCAAAGCTCCTCTTCTATAGGGGTACCCAGACGACGCCTTCCTCATGTGCATTTCATGGCATTTCCAGACATCAAGGTGCATGTCCCCCTTGTACGCATGGTACAGTCCATAAATATATGTCAGCGTGTCTAGTTCCTTCTATGTTCTATGCATGCGTCCCTTCTACATCCTTCCATGCATATTCCATCATTGTTCCTTTCATGTAGCTAGCCATAGATAGCAGTGCTTTGTTCTCCATCAGCTACATAATGGCTGATGGCCCCACCACTGAATCTACACGCTTTCTATCATCATCACTGCTGTGCTACGCTGAGATAAATATATGTCACCTAGACCACTTGGTCAGCGAAAACCTTTCATATGCGTCACTTGTCTTGCCTTGGCCAAGAAAGGTCCCGGGTATTTGGCGTAGGGGTGTAATGTCAGACAATAGACGCATAAGCTAAGGACTTAGAGGACGAGTACCAGGTCATCAAAGGTGAGCATCATAATTGACATGTACCTGCTGCTCGGACTAGCTCGTTGTTACCGAGTCATTCTATGCCACAGCAAACCGTTCGCGGAGAGACATGGCGTGGATCCAGCTAATGCTTCTGTGATATCAAGACGGCAATCCAGGCCTACCGGCTTACAGCGCACTTTCGAGCACATGACGCGGCGGCTAGGAAGACTCCGATCTCGGAGCATCGTAAGGTGCGAGTGCAGGAATGCTCAATCTAGGGAAAGCAGGCTACTCGATCAGAAGTGGAGGAAGTTCGCGGACGAGGATTGTTTGTAGGCGCATTGGTGGGCAGATGAGATGGATGTTGATTGGTTCACTTACACTAGCGGCAGGCTAGTTTAGTAATCAATCAACTTGGTAACTCGCATGTGAGCAGCAGCGATTGACAGTCCGAAAACTCCTCAAGGAGCCGTCCGTCGAATGGCATGGCGCAGTGTTTGCGAGCGCTACCAATCTCGAGGATCCTTACAACAACTTGACAAAGAGCGAAGAACCCAGAATTCCGCAAACGCCAGATCGATCTCGATCTGGTGATGAAGGCATTTCAGCGAAATCGAGAAGGACACCAAGCCATGACAAGTATCCTCAGGAGACTGTTGATCCTTGTCCATGAAGATCTCGCAGACTTCAAGACCGTCGGGGCCTTCAAAGCCTAAATTGATCGTTTCATCCTGTCCCACCTTCTTGGGCTAATACGTAGCCTACTGACCCCGCAGATTCCATCTAAAGCGCATCGAACTTCGAAATTTCCATTGCATCATCCTCTAAGCTAATCATCACCTCCAGCCCGCCACCCAATAGTTCACCCGGAGCACGGGTTGCAAGAATAGAGACTGTTCTCATGCTCGCAATCCCCACCCAATGCCTCTTCTCATTCAAAGTTATACAGCGACATATGGACCGAGGGTGTCGGTGTTGAGGAGGCTCTTAGTGGTCGGTGAAGCCAGAAGCAATATAATTGAGGGGTCACAAAAACCAGTGATCATGCCGATAAGAATTCGACGTGTCGAGCATCCAGTCTTTCATGGGACTGCAAGCCGCTGACGCAGTGCCTGCAAGACTGACTTCAGGGGAAAGCAGGGAGTCCATTGCTATTTGTGGTATGCCGGTCAAAAGATAGTTGAAGAGCTTGCAATGAGCTCCTCTGCCAGGGGCAGGTCGCAGGATTTTGAGCGTTGATATCGGTTCCGAAACTTCGGTTGGTGCCGAGAAGCCGCTCTTATGTTGGCCACCAATGTCTCGGCTGCCTTGCATCGCATCACGCCACAGGTTGTGGTTTCAGCTCTATCTGAGAAGGACAAGGTTTCAGCATCTTTATTCAAACCTGCGACTGCTGTGGGAAGTACATGAAGCTGCAGATCAAGAGTGGTGGGTATCGCAACGAGTTGACTGATTTACAAATGGTGGGGTTCGGCAACCAAAATATTTCTCGAAATACGCAAGTTTAGAGGGCTGACCGAATAGCTGTGCGCAGAGCACCGAACAAGCGTGCGGGAGTGAAGGGGCCGGTGCTCAATTCCATGGTTAGGCAAAACGACTCACTGATCTCAGATTGATAGTTTGCTGCTCTTACGGGGTTGACTGTGGAGAAAAGCGTGGCTTGATAATTAGACTAGCATCTGATTCGCTCGCTTGGATGCATGTATCTTCAAGGTGCCCAGACCCACTTCTCAACATAGTGATATTTTTGAACATGGAGGAGCCATCTGACAGGTGCCAGGATGCCTTCAATGTTATGCACGGTCATGGGGGCACTTGAGGAATGAAAGGGAGGCAAGCTAAGGTCAGGAATGCAGAGATTCCCCCAATCAACAGACAACGCATTTATGCAATGCACTGTTACAATAGAAGGTAAATAAAGGCCATTGTCGCTCACCATCCCGTCTTCGTTTCTGGATTTGCTAATGTTCTTTGTGCCCGTCAAAGCGCCCATCCACATCTTTTCGGCCCAATTGCCATTTTCTCGTTTCAAATATGTTTGGCCTCTTGCGCTCAGCTGTGACCACAGCCTTGACCGTCCTCATCGTCCGCACTAAAGGGCAAACCTGCGGTGTCAATCCTGCGCCTGGAAACGGGATTACGCCTGTAGCTGCTCCGGGATATCATTTCTCTGTGGTGGCTAATGGCCTCACGAAGCCTAGGTCCATACAATTTGACGATGCTGGTAACCTGCTCGTATTGCAGGTTGGTAAAGGTATTGTGAGTCTTCAGCTGGATGACGCTGGCGGCGCATGTGTGTGGGCGCCATCAAAGCAAACGATCATCTCCAATACGGCTGTAAGTCATTCTGGTGAACGGCTGTTCCAAGCTGTGGAAAAGGTCTGACCCTCATGATGCCAGCTAAATCACGGAATGACCCTTTCGACAGACGGAAGAACATTGTTCGCCTCCGACCCTACCGCAGCTTATTCATGGGCTTATAATCCTTTGACTGGCGCCGCTGAGTCTCAAAATACCGTAGTAACTGGAATGAATACCGATGACCACACCACCCGGACACTCCTAGTTTCCGAAAAACTCGAGAATACGTTGTTGATCAGCCGCGGAAGTACTTCGAATATAGACCCTTTAGCCTCCAACATTAGCACTGGGCACAGTCAAATCAAAGTATTCGACCTTGGACAACTTCCCACGAACGGCTACCAATTTGACACAGATGGACTCCGCCTCGGATGGGGCCTTCGGTACGTACAATTCGGAGCTAATACTTCCCATTTGGTATTGAACTTGAGTCGCAAGACATGTGTCGGGAGCAAGAAGACCTTTCTATTCCCCAGACCTCCATTTCTTACCTTGAAGGCGCATTTCTGACTCCGAAATCTGCGTAGCAACTCGGTTGGAGTTGCCGAGCATCCTGAGACCGGCGGGCTGTATTCTGTTGAAAACTCCGCCGATGACATCATGCGCGACGGCGTCGACGTGCACCAAAATAACCCTGGTGAGGAGATGAACTTCCACGGTACCTTACTTAGCAACACAGACAAGTCTCAGGGCAGCAACTACGGCTATCCCGAGTGTTTTGCAGCCTGGGACCCAAGTGCACTTCCGGACAACACCCACCTGGTCGTTGGCAGTCAGTTTGCACTTAATGCGACTTCTGAAAGCATATGCGCTCGGAGAACAGCCCCGAGGCTGACATTCCAGGCACATATGGCTCCGC